AGATTTAGCGACATCTCACTGACAAGAACGCTAAACAGGAAGAAACCACATTACACATGCACAGCAACTCTCACACTATAGCAGTGTTTGTGCATATTAATAGTCTATATAGACTACATACACCGATCAGGCATAACATTACGACCACCTACTTGTTTCTACGCTCATTGTCCATTTTATCAGCTCCACTTACTATATAGGTGCACTTTGTAGTTCTACAGTTACAGACTGTAGTCCATCTGTTTCTCTGCATACTTTGTTAGCCCCCTTTGACCCTGTTCTTCAGTGGCCAGGACCCCATGGAACCTCACAGAGCAGGTACTATTTGGGTGGTGGATCATTCTCAGCACTGCAGTCACACTGTGGTGCGTTAGTGTGTGTTGCGCTGGTACAAGTGGATCAGACACTGCTCTCGTTCTCCATGCCGGATAGTGGGTTTCAAGCCCAGTGGTAGCGTTATATCCCCACTAACGTAATTACATCACTCTGGCGCTGTGTGTGTGAGGTAATTTGATCCATTGTCCTCTCAGCCCTTAAGAATGTGTTTGTTGCTAAAACTCCTCCCGCACAATAAACATACAGTTTACCATACAGCCCTAATGTACATGTAAAGCCAAGTCAAGTCAAAGTTTATTTATACAGCGCTTTTTGCAACAGGTGTTGTCACAAAGCAGCTTCACATAAAAATCCGGGTCAGAGCCCCCATGAGCGTCGCCAATGGCGACAGTGGCAAGGGAAAAACTCTACGAGTAAGAGGAAGAAACCGTGAGAGGATCCAACACACAAATGGGGAACCCGTCCTCCTCTGGTCGACACCGGATAGCAAAAATATCAAAAGAGCAATATGAGCACAGAATAAGGTTTTAACATTAGTTTAAGATATGGAGAAGGAGAAAATTATTATATAAGCCTATTACTCCTATTAACAGCCTCGTAGTAATATGCTATAATAAAAGTAGCCTATAAGCTGATTTCACTGTAAGCTTTAGCCGTTTTACTATCTACCTCTTTAATTTCTACTTGTAGAGGGTAAAACACATACTTTAAATCCAATACTGTAAGTTTAAATGCATGATTTTTATATACAGGAATGATACAAAAATCAAATCAATCCCATTTTTCTTCAGTATTCACCACCCAAAAAAATTATTTGGCAGTTTTCTTTCTTAATCACTGTTTCACTGATTTAAATTATTTTGCTAACTGCATTAATAATAATAATTAAATCTATATTTATTTAGTGTAACTGACATTCATTTGCGCTTTATTAGGACACAATAACAGGTTGAACTATGGCAGATTCAATTTAGTTGAGCAATTCTGGCACCTATGTTTTTAGTATAAAAGGCGATCACTTTTTGGAGTTTTGGAGTTTTTTGTTCTTTTTCAAGTACAAGAAAATGTGCCAAAATTACTGTTTACTGTTACCGTACATGGTTGTTACCATTCACACGTGACGGACAGAGATTAGGATGAAAAGCAAAGGAGTATTTCTTTAATATCTCACTAGATTAGAACATCTATAATGATTTCCGCAGAATGATGATAGTTGTTCCTCTTTCATTCTAATCTGTTTTTCACAGACACAGACTCTCTGTGACTCATCTGGTTCTTACAAAGTCTGAACACTTCCAGTGAACTATTTATGAGTGAAAGAGTACATATTCCTCATAAAGCCGGAGGGAATACTTCCCCCAGTAAATGACGCATTTCTGGACTCAGGAGGGGCCGACAGGATAAGAACTGGAGGGAAACTAAATTCTGACTGTTTATGGGCAGATCTATAAACAGCAGTTTCCTCTGAAATTTGAGCTCACAGTGTCTCTACCATTTAGTTCCATGTCCTGAGTCTCTGGCTGTGCTCATAGAGTGAAATCAACTGATCTGAGGCTTCAAAGATAATAAAACAAGGCTGGATATTTCCAAATAGCTCACAATCCAACACTCAACACCACACGTGAGTCAAGATTCAATACATAGCGAGATTACAATTGGATGACGACACATTCTGACAAACTATCAGGGCACTATTAAATCTGTTAGATAAATTCTAAACAATAAAACATGAGCTGGTAGTTTCACAAAGGGCAATTACATCGATTGTTCAACATTTCTGCAGAATTCAATCATTAAGAGACTCATTCAGAGTGGTTTGGTGTGAAACGCTCTGTTCTAGAGAAACAAACAGAGTCAGAATTGTTCATAGTGGTGGTGATAGGAACCAGACGTCCACCTCAAAAAGCTCCCTCACAGAAAGTACATAAATGGTTATGAACACACTGCCTGGTGCCTGAGACATTTATATTTTCAATAGTTTTGAGATAAAGTTCCGTCTAAAACGTATTTCTTTGATACGTTCGCCGCAAAGAAGTAAATGAAGGTCGCTGTGAGGGCCCTAAGAAACCTTTTTTTTTTTCAGGTTTTATACAATTTTACCATCATCAACATTAAATATAAAACTCAGAAGACTCGTGTAGGTTCACTGGTGGTTTTGGATAGTAAATAAAATGTCTATATTTGTGTTGTAGTCATGGCGACCCCTGGTTCCTATCACCACCACTGTAAAGAAATCAGATTCAGTCACTTTCTCTACTACATGCGTGCAGACTGCTGGTCCTGGAGGGCCAGTGTCCAGTACACTGATTACACTCATCATTTTAATTGCATGGTTTAGTGGGTTTTTTGAGTAGGGAAACTACCAAACTGTGCTCCAGGACCAGAGCTGTGCACCCCTCTACATTTCACTCCAAACCACTCTGAATTACATGAAAATTTTGAAAAATCTGTGGAATTCCCCTTCAAGATAACCCAAGACATTTGTTTTGCTATACTTTTAAACTGCAATTAGCTGAATTGTATAAATACAATTACTCCCAATATATTACACTATTCACAGGCAGAGGCTGTAATTACACAATTACATTATTCAGTTATGGAAGGAATTACATTTACCATCTACCATCAACTCTCACACTATAGCAGTGTTTGTGCATATGAATAGTCTATATAGACTACATACACCAATCAGGCATAACATTATGACCACTTCCTTGTTTCTACACTCATTGTCCATTTTATCAGCTCCACTTACTATATAGGTGCACTTTGTAGTTCTACAGTTACAGACTGTAGTCCATCTGTTTGTCTGCATACTTTGTTAGCCCCCTTTTACCCTGTTCTTCAGTGGTCAGGACCCCCATGGACCCTCACAGAGCAGGTACTACTTGGGTGGTGGATCATTCTCAGCACTGCAGTAACACTGACGTGGTGGTGGTGTGTTAGTGTGTGTTGCGCTGGTCTGAGTGGATCAGACACAGCAGTGCTGCTGGAGTTTTTAAACACCTCAGTGTCACTGCTGGACTGAGAATAGTCCACCAACCAAAAATATCCAGCCAACAGCGTCCTGTGACCACTGATGAAGGACTAGAGGATGACCAACACAAACTGTGCAGCAGCAGATGAGCTATCGTCTCTGACTTTACATCTACAAGGTGGACTAACAAGGTAGGAGTGTCTAATAGACAGTGAGTTATACAAGGTTTAAAAACTCCAGCAGCACTGCTGTGTCTGATCCACTCAGACCAGCACAACACACACTAACACACCACCACCACGTCAGTGTTACTGCAGTGCTGAGAATGATCCACCACCCAAATAGTACCTGCTCTGTGAGGGTCCATGGGGGTCCTGACCACTGAAGAACAGGGTAAAAGGGGGCTAACAAAGTATGCAGAGAAACAGATGGACTACAGTCTGTAACTGTAGAACTACAAAGTGCACCTATAGAGTAAGTGGAGCTCATAATGTTATGCCTGATCGTTGTATTTACACTGTATTGACAGGTTAGATTCTGCACGTGTGACTCCTTTTTTGCTTGTTTTACTGTCAAAGAATGACAAAAACATGGCAAAAATGAAAACAATGTTTTCTTTCCTCAAAGCAAGACAAAATCATTTTCAATCAAACTTAAATCATAACAAAATATCTCCTTGTCTAATTCCAAACACAAGCATGGTCTGGATTGAGCTTCAAGCGACAAAGAAATCATATAAACTCAACTACAGGTTATAAAAAATTACAACATGCTTTTGTCATCGTTGCTTATAACTTTGCCTTCACAGGATTCAGGTATTTTTGTATCCTGTGATAAACATTTCTGGTTTGTTATGGCCGGAGATCAAAGCGAGTGGGAAACTCATTCAAATAATATTACACTCTTAAAAAAGATGGTTCTTCAAGAGTTCTTTAGTAAAGAAAAGGGTTCTGTATAAAACCATGAACACTCAAACAACCCTGTACACGATTAAAAGGTTCTTTCCATCTTTAAAGCGTTCTTCAGATTGATGGAAAATGTTCAGTAATGTGCCTTAGATGGTTCTATATAGCACTCAAGAGTTCTTCTATCGCTATAAGCCTGACACCGTAACAGTAGAAGAATCCTTTCAGGTGCTATATAGAACCATTTTCAAAAAGGCTTAAATAGGTCTATAGAACCATCTACAGCACATTCTCCATCAGTCTGAGGAACACTTTCATAATGCAAAGAAACCTTTAATCATGCAAAAGGTTCTTTGAATGTTCATGGTTCTACATAGAACCATTTTCTTTAATAAAGAACCCTTGAAGCACCGTCTTTTTGAAGAGTGTATAATAATGAGTTATTAGCAAAAACTACAAGTGGCTGTTCTTTTCATAAAAAAGTGAGTTTTAACATCTTTAGAACTGGACTGTAGAGCTCCGAATGCGAGATGACGTTCCAAATCCGAACGACTGCATGTGGCCCCTCCCCCCAGTCTCCTATAGGCTGACACATGGTGCACTTCCCACCACCTTCAGACCCACCTCTTTATATATTTCAAGCTACTGAAAAACTCTCAACGCATCCCCACCTAAATTCTTCACTCAAGAATAAACCACTACATCCCCAACTTCTAATCTATCAGTTTTTTCCTCTCTCTCTCTCTCTCTCTCTTTCTCTCTCTCTCATTCCTAAAGGATACGTGGCGTCCCCTCCGTTCGGCACACCAGGTAGAGGCAGGCGGCCACAACGTGGGCGGATTTGCGGCCGCGGGTCAGCCGCTTGCACAGCGCCATCTTGTAGAAGTTGAAGGCCGTGTCCAGGCAGTGCTGGTTCATCTGCAGCTGATGGCCCAGGTGGTTTATGTTCCGCTTGGCTAAAGGCAAACAACAAAAACAACAATAAAGAACTCTGTTAGACTCTGTACCTCAACAGAACAGAGACACACAAGACGGACCGTGTTCCTGCTGGTCATAACACAACTGGATTAACAGTAAAGTTTTAAACGTATCACAAAACCTCCGATAAACAGTGCACATCTGTGAAATGATGGTTAGCTATGATAAAATGTTCTTAACTTCAATGTATGTTAATTTAATGATGTTTTTATCTCCATCGGTCCATCAATGTGGAAATGTTCGCACAGTGTAAAGAGCAGCTGATATTCTCTAATGGTGTAAAAATAATTTATAATAAGATTTTTTATAAGACAGCAATAATTGTTTTTATACAAAAATATAAAAATAACAACAAAATGCTAATATTCCTACTACTGAGATGATAATAATAATTTCATTTTTTAATATTTAACAATTTTCATATTTATTACTATTTGTAATAACTTTTAAATCTGTATTAAAGTTATCATCATTATTATTATTTATTACTATTATTATTATTATTAAGAAGAAGAATGCCTTTGTTCCTTTTAGCTTGTCTTCTACATGAACCATTTAAAGTGAATTCCAACTAAAATGGAGTGAACCACGCTGCTTTATTTTAAAGGGGAATTCCACTAATCTTTCAAAATTTCTACATAACTTCATTGTTGAGATGTAAACAAAATCATTTAGAGTGGTTTGATGTGAAATGGTTCATTGTAGAGAAAGGCACTCAGATTTCATTACAGTAGTGGTGATAGGAACCAGAAATTGATGTCTACAGCAAAACATAACCAATGGTAAAACAGAGGTAACACTCTGCGTGTTTCTCTCCGCTGTGAACAGATCTTATAAATAATGTTTTGGGTTAAAACCTTCTCAAACTATCATAAAAAACAATGTCCCAGGCATCAGACAGTGAATTCATAACCATTTCATGTAATAACTTTCTGTGAGGGAGCTTTTAGAGGTGGACGTCTGGTTCCTATCACCACCACTGTGGACAATTACGACCAAGTTTCTTTAGAACAGAGCATTTCACACCAAACCACTCTGAATGACTCTGTTTGCATCCTAACCACTTAATTATGCAGAAATTTGAAAAGTCAGTGGAATTCCCCTTTAATACAGTCTCTCAATACAAACTATTCAGTTATCATCATGTAAATGTAGGAAGTGAGAGATTGAAAAATGGCACTGAGCAGAAGCCCCGGGCTATTTATACAAAAGCTCAACCACACAGAGATCTCTTGTTCTCTCAACCCACACACACACCAATAAATCTCAGTGCAGACTGCAGACCCTCAATCACACACACACACACACACACACACACACACACACACACACACACTCAAACGTACGTGCCTGCACTCACAAACACACACAATAAAGAAACCTCCATATGTTCTCCTCCTACCACAACACATTCACACAGAGCACGAGTCTGTCTGAACAAGATGATTCACTCTTTACCACACAACACACACAGAGAGCGGGTGGCCCACACACCTGAATGCTTTTACAACTCCACACCTCATAGCTGAACACTTAAAGGGCAACTCCATCGATTTTTAAAAATTCCTGCATCATTCAACGTTTAAAACAAAGTCACTCAGAGTGGTTTGGTGTAAAATTCTCCGTTCTACAGAAATTGTGGAGGTGGAATTATTCACAGTGGTGGTGACAGGAACCAGACGTCAGAGAATTCAATTCCTCTGAAAGCTCACTCACAGAAGCCTATTAAGTGAAGTGTACTGCCTAATGCTGAAACACTGCTTTATGATAGTTTTGGACTAAATATATTTTTTCAGAGCCATTCACGGCAAAGATATACAGGGTGATTCAAAAAGACTCACCTGATTTCAAAATGATTTATTTCACTTGTAAATCATTACAGATCAATGCAATAAACTGTAAACGGTTTAAATGAGAGTAAAGTTTATTATGTAATTGTACAAGGTCTCAGTATGAACCTCCTCCAGCTGTACAGACAACATCAACACCATAGTCAAATTCATCCCATACTCAATTGAGCATGTCAGGTGTCGCTGCACTCACGGCTCTTTCAGTGTGATTTCGGAGATCATCCAGTGTTGTTGGGAGTGGCACATAAACAGAGTCCTTAACGTACCCACACAAAAAAAGTCACACGGCGTAAGATCTGGTGATGCTGGTGACCCTTTTCTTGAAACTGCTGGTACCAACGGCAAATGCTCTGAGCTGTTGAAGGTTCACTGCCGTTCTGACAGTCAGAAACTCTATGAACCCCTCTTTCAATTGGATTGTGATTGGTTCCTAGGCGCCTCACGGTTGTAAAATTATGGCGCTTTGAAATCAGATGAATCTTTTTGAATCACCCTGTACATGCAAAGTGTTATAAGGCAAAACAGTCCCAAAAAGAGAACATATTTTAGTAAATTTAACACTATTATCATCAATAAACATTGACCAGGTTTACTGGTCATTTTGGATAGTAAATAAAATGGCCAAATCTGTGTTGTAGTCATGGCGACCCCTGGCTCCTATCACCACCACTGTAAAGAAATCTGAGTTGGTAAATTTCTTCACAATATACTATTTCACATCAAACTACTCTGAATGACCCTGTCACACGTCATTCTTTCCTCTTTTCCCACAAATAATGGGACACACCCTCTCAAACAGTTCCTCTGCTTTGACACATCCAAACCTCAGGTATGACACAAGGACGGGTTTTATTAATCAGCCACTGAGAAGAGTTTATCCCGGAATTGACTCAGCCAATGTGCAATATCAACAATGGAAGTGTTCATTTGCAAAAGCAGATAACTTATTTTAAAGGATTTTCACAAATCAGGTTGTTTTTATTGTGCATTCCAGGGAATTTGGGTTGATTTGATTAAGAAAAAATAACAACAAAATACAGGTAACTTAAAAAATTAAACTTATTTTAAATTAAATTTTGTCTCTTGGCAAAAGCAAAAAGGTTTTTTGGATAACTCCAATGGTCATTTCATGTTACAGAGTTGAATAAAGCATGTAATGGATACAAGTTTCTTAAGTCCAGTTTTAATATTCTTTAACAGGTAAAGAGCTGAAAACTGGAACAAAAACAGCCCATTAGTGGACAATAATAAACATCTCTAAGATCAGAGTTCAGATAATCCTAAGGATGAATCTCAAACTGTTTCACTGCTCTCCATATAGTGAACTATGTGAGTTATGAAATTTAGTTCCACCAAAACATTGCGCTTTATGTCCAGAACGAGAATCCACAGTGGTTCTCTGTTAGACTCACTGACCTCTGTTTTGATGCAGTAGCCGTTATTTTAAGACCTACATGCTGCTCTTTGTAGAGAAGGGAGCTGTCTGAAACAGTTTGTGGCAGTGTTGAGATACCTGATCCGAATACTGCACGCTGATTGGCTGAACACATTTATCAGGTTCTGCTGGAGAACAGCGCTGGCGTTTGACCGTTTCTGCTGTAAAACATTAACTTGCAGTGCCTTGACAATGAACAATAACGGCTTTTGTGAGAAAAAGTATCCAGGGTTCAGAATGCGCTGCGTATTCGAATAACTCACTACAGTCAGCTAGTTTTTTTAAAGGATGGCGTTTATCATTTTTTGCAAATTAACCTCTTAGTTGTATTTAGAAGTTTAACGTTTTGTTGATTTTCTAAGTAAAAATAAGTTCACACATCCTCTACAGAGAACAAAACAGAGCATCTAGCATCTACCATTATGGAAAAAGTAAAACATAAAATATGAAACGTGCCATCACATTTGCACAGGCCACATTTTATGTTTAATTTTTTTCCAATATGTTTTATTTTTCCAGCAAATAAACAGTCATTGTGTATCGAAATGTGCATAAGTGTGTTCTTGTAGAGGATCTGTTCACTTATTTACACTTCCAACATCAACAAAACGTCATCGAACCAGCGTGTCCAAATTTGGACGTATGACTGTACTTTATTACAGAACTCATCTGGCAGGGTGATTACTGCTGGTGATTAGTGTGATTAGATTATAATACGGATATAATCCTCACTATCTGAAATATTATGCAAAATATCACTAAAACTAAAAAGAAATACAGTATGTCAATATATCAGTAGAGATGATGTATTGCCCAGCTCTAAAAGTGAGCCAGAATTATACTGTTACATACAGTCACTGTCTGGACAAAACTTGGGTATTATTAGTCTTATTACCATAACTTAATAGTATTATTGTTTGTTTTTTATCATTAGTGTTCAGTATCGTTATCATTTATTGTAAGTATATCATAGATCATAGTGGAAACTGATCTATTTGGCTTATGTACATACAGATTAGTCTAAAACACAAAGCATTGATATCTGCCTGTTGTCTGATCACTGTCCACTCACCATTCTGTAACGTCTGGGCTCTGGACTCCTTTCCCATCCCAGAGAAATTGCCACCCAGGGAAGGGACATTACCGGTAGCTGTACAGAAATAAAATGCACAAAAAGGCTTAGCAGTATTAATAGAAAATTGTACTGAACTTCTCCCAGACACCATTTATCACCAGAAATGCCATATTAAAGGACACAGCAACCTCTGCTGGTCAAAGTCTGTACTGCAATTCCAACTGTAATCTTGGTTCTCTATAAACTGCAAGTGTTCATACGAATACTTGAGCTTTCCTTGTGATGAGTACAGACTGGTAGTTATTCCCTACACCACATAGGTTTAGAGTTACTTTGGCAAATAGCAACATAGTATGATCAAAGCAGCACGTTACCTCCAAATACAGGCAAAGGTGAGGCTGTTTGGTCAATCAGTTGGCCATTTGGGAGTGTGAGTTAATTTAAAGGACGCTGTAACCAGCTACTTTTTATGATATGACAATTAATGTGATTTGATTTGATTTGATCTGATATTAAGCTAGACAGTATACGCTTCAAGCGAAGCACTTCTTGGTTGAATTTTCAAACTATTACACGTTTCTTTAAATATGCAGGAAAATTTAAGGTGTTCAGGTTAACATTTCACAGCAAAAGTTTACATCAGATGCAGCATATTTCACCTGACTGTAGTATGGACACTAAGACAGCTATAAACTATAACTGTTTAACCAAAACTGTCCCTTTCAGTTTGCAAATGCTGTCAATGTGGTCGTATCCTCAAGGCTACGTCTTCAGTACTTTTAGTTAGAGAACATAAATGTATCATAAGTTACATGGTCTCCATACTCCCTGTATGGACTCCAGGCCTATTTGAAAATATTTTAACTTAACCTGAAACTAACTGTTCTGTAAAGACAAAAACGTACCTCTTTCCCTTGGGATAGTGAATGTAGTGTACCTTTAAAAACTAATTTAAATGTACACATGTGGACTTTATGCACAATGCTGCATCTCAGAGGATGCGTTTACATTAATCTGAACTGTACTTCTTTTTCTACCAGTGTACAAAGCAGGAATATGTCCATCAGATATCATCAAGTACAAAAGAACCCAAAAGTTGCTGTCAATCAGTATTAGTTTCCAGAATTTCTAACTGTAATCGAATGAACATATGGCCTGATAAAATGTGTTAAAATAATTATAACACAAAAAGGTGCTGTTTATTAACATTGTTGACAGTGTGCCATTTAAAAAACTAAACACTTGAAATGTGTGTATGAAATGCACATGAAATAATGAGCAAACTGTGTTTTTTTTGTTTTTTTGTTCTTTATTCTATTCTTTGTTTGCAGTGCTGTTTCAGTGTTTATTATGTATTTCCAAGTTGCAGAATTAATGCTGAATTGTCGGTATGTTTTCAAAATTACGACAAATGTCGTGTATGTGGTACATCAAACAGCACAATGCCTAAAATGAGAATAACTGAACTGCAGTACAGCTTTTGACCAGCAGATGATGCTGTTTCCTCAAAAAATGCAAAACCTTGTTAAATAGCACATTTTTAAGAGTGTAATGGAGCTTTTCCTGTGGACAGAGCAATACAGAACAGTTACTAATCTGCGTCCAAAACTATCTGTACACTCATCACGTCCGTTTCCTATCATTAAAGCAGAAGTTCTGATGAATCACCTTTGACCAATCAATGGTCTGCACTGTTTCTAGCTCCACCCATATGACCCCAGCAAGAAGTAAACCATGATCAGCACAAGCTCTTAGGCCCAATCCCATTTCACCCCTTGCCCCTACCACTTAGCCCTCTAGGGGTACCGATTTTATTTGAGATAGAGGGGTTGGGGAGGTGTTAGGACTGCATGGCCCTCCAACCAGAGGTTTTTCAGAGACACTCCAAACAGAGCGTTTTGAGAAAGAAAGAAAAACCAGCAAGATGGCTGTGCAAGCGACGAAAGAATTAGAGGTGGGTGCTTATAAATAACTGTCCTTCCCCTGTTTTTGAAGGCATATTGTGTCCTAAATGTAACTAAAGCCCAGCAGTGAGGAGCTGAACTTGAACCTCCTCTGCCATCAGTGCAGACTGGCAGGGTCGCCTACAGAGCAGCACTAGTAGCTGTTAATGAAGTGATGCTCTTTTTATTTGAAGGTTGTTCCATTTCGTAGTGAATGTTTTAACCACTACCCATTATAACTCAGCTCCAAGGGGCAAGGTGACACTGAAAAACAAGGGGTAAAAATAAGAAATGGGATTGGGCCTTAGTTAAGTTATAATGCCAAGCAATGGAAATAACATCAAAACGTGTCATCACGGGTCACTGTGTCTGGTGGAAAAGTGCTATTAGTGGGTGTATTGGATGAGTCACTCACCGTCTGATGACACGAAACTGGCCAACAGCAGATGAGCCCCCGCCGCTGTTTTCCACAAAGGTTACCTCAGAAACAATGATGTTGTCCTCCAACACGGAGCCGCAGCCCATACACACCGCATCTCCGCGCGCCTGGTCCACATCAATGTCCGTCCCACCGCAGTTTTTACACCTCCGCATGGCGACGGCCGGTCAGTCCCAATATTACGGAGAGAAACTCTGAAGACGCCTGTGCAAACAAGACAGCAGGGAAACTACGATCAGTGATGGACTGTCAGTCCAGGAATGTTGTTGTTATGGCAACAAATTACATCACTTCATGCGTTTCTAAGCATATAATGCACATCGTCAGTAGGTCTAAAACAATGATGGATCATAAAGGCAGATTGAACAACAACCACCATGTGATACCTGCATAAACTGCACAGTAACAAGTCAGGATGTCGGCCCGTTACACCATTACCTTATTTTATTAAATGATTTTTTTTTAAATAAAAGTCTGAATTTCACTACTGTTGCTTTCAAACTAGTGTATCTTTGCAAACACTGACCTAAAAAAAGGTCAATATACTGACTGAAAAAATATTTTTAAATGCTACTACTGTTCTCTGAGTGCATTTTGGCAATCTCAGCCTCAGAAAAACTAAAAATTAAGAAACCTTTCATGGGTATAAAAGGATAGACCACAGATTACATGTTTGCAGGAGAGTTCCTTCAAACTGGACTGAGCACACTGGCTAGTAATTACATTTCCCCAGCTCTGCGCAGGATCATCCAGTTTTGTCCTTCACATTTAATTCCAATTTTGGGGGTTTCATTCAATTCTGTTGTTTTGGTTCGGCTCCTGTTGCTCAAATCACTCACTTTGGAGCTTAAGCATTTTATTTTAGACTATAAGAATCCCAAAAACAGAAGAATGGAGCCTAATAAACTTCAGCTCCTGTGCTGCTGATCAGTGGTCACCAACCCTGCTCCTGGAGCTCTACATTCCTGCAGACTTCAGCTCCAATTCTAAACAACCATCCTACCTGATCCATCTGATTACTGCCTTCAGAAGTCGTTACAGATTAGCTGAAGGAGGTGTGTTAGATTTGGGTTGGACATAAAACGTGAAAGGAGGTAGATCTCCAAGAGAACCATTACTGTAAAGAGATGGTGGGTGTACTAAGAGACACTGCAGTTCTATGGGGGGGCTGGCACTGAGTACCAGAGGAAGTTACTCTAGCTGGTTTTTCAAACCTAGCTCTACTCGAATGATGGCTCTTCAAGGGTTCTTTAGTAAAGAAAACGGTTCTATATGGAACCATGAACACACAAAGAACGCTTTGCATGATTAAAGGGTTCTTCGTATCGTGAAAGAGTTCTTCAGATTGATGGAGAATGTGCTGTAGATGGTTCTACACCAAACTTTTTTGAAAAGGGTTCTATGTAGCACCAAAAAAGGGTTTTTCTACTGTTATGATGTCAGGCTTGTTACAGTAGAAGAACTTCTTTGGTGCTATATGGGCCCCTTTCTATATAGAACCAGTTTCATCAATCTGATGATCCTTTAACCATGCAAAGGGTTCTTTGTGTGTTCATGGAACCATTTTCTTTACTAAATAACCACTGAAAAACCATCATTTTCAAGTGTGCAGCATTTCACTTGAGTAGTAAGCAACCCATCTACCTCAGTGTGGTGATTAAAGCCCCCCTGCCCACCTCTGTATCCTACTAGTAGGCCTCCAGGACTAATGAGAGGCGCTTTAAGCCTACAGGCCCCCATGAATATGTCACTTTATACAGTGCTGCAGCTCGTGGAACACCACATATGATATATGTAGGGGTTTATATAAGAATTCAGTCTTTTCTACTGATATTTATAAACGCTGTTGGCAACAGAACAAACGCAGCATCTCATGCAGTAAAGCTCTGGCTTTCATAAGCTAACAGGAGTAAAAGCCAGCGCAAAAAGAGCTCACAGTGTTGTTTTCTGTGAATGAGTAAAGACTCTCAGCATAAAAAACCATCATAGTGAATTCAGCCAGGGAAGCCACAGGCCAGCTTGTGACGTGGCAAACACTTTTCTGGACTTTGGCTACATTACAGTCTGTTTACCAATATATATCTAACATATGCACCGTGCAGAAGACCCAGCTTTGCTCCTTTGCTGAAAGTAATTTAAATTGTGAGGTACCTTTAGCTCGCAGGCGCCGACACGCTGACTGACCGACCGCTTTCTGTCCTTTCTCTGCCTGCTAACACCAGCAGGCGCTGACCTGTGGTCGATTTCTTACACGAAAATGAACTTTATACACTTTAATTTGACAAAACGCTCAAGGTACGTCTATGGACTCGGCTAAATATCGCGAACGGTGCTTTATTTTCTAATGACAAGCCGGCTAATCCCAGTTAACGTACACTACACTGTCAGAAAACAACAGCACATGTTCAGAGGCAGCGTGCGAGCAGGACCGTACCAAAGTGACCGCGGGGGGGTCCGAAAGTGTTTTAAATGGTTGAATTGAATGCGATGGTTTTCAGTAAAGTAGTAGATTTATATCTGAAAAATAAGTGTTAACTGTGTTGTACAGCCTAGGATAATGGACGTATAACCTTATGCTCTCTACTCTTAGGAGGAAATCAAACCTGAGGTCACCCCTTTCAAATACGCCGCTGTGGCGCGGCCCGCATGAACTCTGCAGTTCTGACGTAACGAGTGACAAAGTCTTGCAATGC